CTAGTGTACCAGAAAAATCAGATCACATGTGGGCTTGGAGGATGGGTGCATGGTTTCACTGGGTTGTGAAGGTTGCTCTCAGTGAGGTGGATAGGGAACCATGCGGGGGTTGGAGTGGGAAGGTGATCTTCCCCCGGAGTCGGCTGGACTCTCCTCCCACCTCCTGGGCTGAATTCTTCGTTGTCCTGCTATCAGTGGCCTGCCAGTGTCTCCTGGTGTTTGTCGATGTGCTCTTCTGCTCCTCTCGAAGTCCAGCCACTTGTGTCTGTGCCTGCTAGGGTCTTGGGTTTTTATGGGCACAGGATGGAGATATGGTGGGCCAGAGTGGTCTTGGAAAATGTGACATTTGGACGCAAAAACAGGACTGCCTGTTCTCACTTAAATCCGTTGGCACAGGCTTGAGGGTGGAGCCCTCGCCTAGGATCCGTCCCCACCCTCCTTCTCTACCCAGCACTTCCCTGCTCCCATCTCCTACCAGTAGGCCAGATGTGGCTGGTCTTAGAGGTCTTAAATAAAGGGATTTGAACCATGGGCTGGGAAGAGAAATAGAGATGGCTCCCGACTGGCATTATCTACAAGTTTCTACAGGACAGACATAGCACAGTATATGTTATTAAGAGCATTCATTCTACAGAAAAGTTGGTTCTGTGACTAAGAGATTTTAGAAAATGCTGGATTAAGCCAAGTTAACTAGTCTTACCAGACTTCTGAGAATCTTTATAATGCTAATATCAATTTTCTAAGCACTGACCATTTACAAACAACATGACCATATAATCCTTTCTCTTTTCTGATGGATAATTTCATTGAGCTAGTATCCCATGAGACACTGGTTTAGAAAATATTGCTATGCACTATTCTTAGTGTTTTGTATTATCTTCACGGCTGCTGTCAATTCATGTGTTTATTTATAGCTTGCCTCGTTTTAGAAAAGATTTAAAGCAATCAGTACAGAGATGATCATTACAGTTTAGCTTTGCTTGGGGCTTTTTACACTAACTGTTTTTCTTGACCTGGAATTAAAATCTTCCTTCACAAATTCTATTGAAAACATCAGAAGTTACGACTTTCCTCTGGCAGAAAAGATTCTCAGAGGTATCATCAAGCTAGCTCATGAAGGTGGGAAAGTGAATGAGGGTTTCCAGGATCTAGTTTCTGAGTTTTTGACCTAGGGTGCAACACAGACCCCAGTGCCATATAGAGCAGATCCAGAGAGAAGACTAGTCACGATGTGGGAACCAGGGAGAGGGGGGGACTCTGTGTCATTGTTCCATAATGCCGTTAAAAGTAATGGCAAAAACCGCAATTACTTTTGCACCAATCTAAACATAAGTACAGCTGCCTGACCTTGGCAAAACTTGCTTAATTTTCTGGGTCTCAATTTTATTGTGTGCATATCCTAAATAGTAGTATCTACATCAAAAAGTTATTGCAGACATTAAATGAAGTAAGGTTTCTAGACTCCCTAACACAGAGAAGAAGCTTAATTAATATTCTGGCTATAATGATATTGATAATGGCACAGATTCTCATCTTCAAGATTGTCCTAGAGCCAAGGTTTATAGCTCCTTCCTGTTTTGGTCAATCTCTCATTCTTCCCAAATATTCCCTTTATCCATTTACGAGGGTAAAGTTTCCTGCTTTTTCTGGGAGGGTCCTCTGGAACCCTGAAGAAATATGAGTTGTATCTGTACCTGGTCACCTGAAGTAATATCTTTTCTTCTTCAGCTGAGACCAACTGCATGTGAGGAGAGAGATGTAAGGGAGCTGCCCCCCAAGGAGCTCTGTGCAATGTGCTGATGGATTGAGGGTGGCACTTTGTGTCTAATCACTGATGTGGGAGGATAGGGGCATGGAGGAAAGATGAGGAAATTGAATGGCAAAGGAAGTGAGGAAAAGAGACCAGGCATTTTCTGCAAAGAAAGAAGAGTTAGAGGCTCACACCTGTAATCCCAGCACTTTGGGAGGCTGGGTCTGGTGGAACACATGAGGTCAGGAGTTCAAGACCAGCCTGGCCAACATGGTGAAACCGCATCTCTACCAAAAATACACACACAAAAAATAAGCTGAGCCTGGTGGCAGGTGCCTGTAATCACAGCTACTCGGGAGGCTGAGGCAGGAGAATTGCTTGAACACAAGAGGCGGAGGTTGCAGTGAGCCAAGATCTTGCCACTGTACTCCAGCCTGGGTGACAAGAGCGAAACTCCATCTCAAAACAAACAAAAAAAAAAAAAAAAAAGAAAGAAAAAGAAAGAAAAAGAAAGAAGAGTTAGAAAACCACAGTATTCCTCCCATGAGTTGCACACACCCACATGTTCTCGAGAAGAAAATCTGGACAGCATGGAAGCTGCTTATTTATATTGTATGTAGCAATATAACCAGGTATAATATAACTAAAAACATGTTTAACTATGACCCAAATAAAAAAACTGAGCTGTGCATTTCATTCATTTCATCTCCTGTCATCCCCACACACATTCGTTATAAGCAGGTTTTTAAAAATTTTAATCTTTATTTACAAAATGCTTATTTTAAAAATGATGACACTGTTCATTCAGTAATCCCCCTTTCAGAAGATATCCTATGAAAATGACCTAAAATGCAAGGAAATATTGGGTGCATTTTGGGTCAGATGGCCTTCCGTGCTCACATGAGTAGAGTACTTTTGTTCAATCAGTTTACCACTGTCATCTAGATTTAGAATGAGCTGGTAGTCCATGTCTCAAATGATGCTATGAGTAACCTTGATGAGGATGTCTTAGTGTTCCATGAGGTGGAGTTCGAGGAAGCTGATTCACTTTTTCACCATGACTTTCAGCTGTGTACCATGCCTTTACCTGAGCCAACTATTGCTCTCCAAATCCTGCTCTGAATGGGGTTCATACATATGCCTCTATGTAAATCCTAAATTCCTGTTGATATTTTTTTCTCAGAGAGTCACATCCATAGGACTCAAAGCAGTTCTTATTTTTTTTGCCTCAGTCTAACAATCTTATAAAATTCCTCCCCAGAGTATAGAATTAGCTTATAGTCGTGAAAGGATGGGTTTCATCTGTGTTCATCAGAATGTCCTATATCCACTGATTAATTTACTTTTTCTTCAGTGACTCAGAGATGATTTTCTCTTCAGAAAACAAAAGAATTTTCTGGCACATCTATCAGGGTAAAAACTTAAACACACATATAAACACAAACACGCTGTCCTCCAATATACATATAATATTTGCTATTTCTTACAAGTGAGGTTACTTGCTCAGTATTTGAGTAAAACTATTGTCAAGAAAGTTATGACTCTGTGTATCCTCACATTCTGCAGTCTTCTACCTCAACCCCATTGCAGAAACATGGGGCCGCCAGCTAATTGTCGTATAGAGAAAATGAAAGTGGTATTGCAAAACATGCGGCTTAAAGTGGGTGCTAAGGAAATGACAAGTGTTAACGAAAATGAAATTGCATGGGATATGATTTTTCTTTACATCTGGGATCAGGCAGATACTGAAACTTTATTTGCCCATGGAAAAGAGAAAGACAGGAAGGAAATCCTCCCGTAGTGCCTACTATGTGTGCTTTAATGTGTTTAGTGTTTTACTTATGTTATCAGAAAGTCAAACTTGTTGGACTCATGGAGTCTAATAAAACCACTTTATATTTGCTTCTAACCCATTTTAAACCCATTTAGGGCTAGCCATATTTTTGCTTCCCTTCAGTGAAAACTCCCAGTTTCCCTGACTTCCTTGATTACACTTTATTTGCAAACACCATCTGAAGTCAGCAACTGAAAATGTCCAGTCCCCATGAATTTTAACTTGGAAAGCTGGAAGCTTACAAGTGCTCACTCATCCAACTCTCTCCATCCTGGGCACTTAGAAAAATAATATTTCCTTAAGTTTCATTGCAATTAGGTTTGCTGCCTGCTTGTTGAATTCTGGCCATTGGAATATGAAAAAACAAAAACAAAAACAAAAAAAGTGAAGCTGTGACCCAGAGGCCTGCCCACCCCCTCCCAATACATATGCATACCTACTCACAAAATTTAGACATGTTATAGGAGGAGAAATGCAGATCTGCGGTGTGAATTCACGGCTTTGTGGGGTTTGTCATCTCATCTATCTAGTCTGTCTTTATGAATTTCCTGAACTTGATTTAGTTTTAAATCTTGTGTCCTCTACAAGTTGGCATTGACTTTGAATCGCCCATTTAAAGTGAGAGAGGGTGGCAATAGCAATGTCCTCCTACTGTTTTTTCCCCCCCACTGGGTCTTTCTCTCTCCAAACTCACAAAATAGGTTTGTTTTTTTTTTGAGACAGAGTCTTGCTCTGTTACCCAAGCTGGAGTGCAGTGGCATGATCTCAGCTCACTGCAACCTCCGACTCCCTGGTTCAAGCGATTCTCCTTCCTCAGGCTCCCAAGTAGCTGGGATTACAGGCATGCACCACCACGCCCAGCTAATTTTTGTACTTTTAGTAAAGACAGGGTTTCACATGTTGGCCAGGATGGTCTCGATCTCCTGACTTCATGATCCACCTGCCTCGGCCTACCAAAGTGCTGGGATTATAGGCATGAGCCACCGCGCCCGGCCCCAAGTTTCAAAAACAGTTTTCTGACCCCTGCAAGCAGAGAAGTGAGAGTTGAGGTAATGTGAACAACAAAGTTTGTATCTGTTGTTTTCACATTTGGCAGGTGAGTAGAGCTTGCCATTTTGGTTTGTGTGTGTGTGTGTGTTTGTGAGTTTCTGGTATTCTAGTTCCTATGGTGTGGCCTCCTTTGGTTGCCTCCTCCCAAATTACCACTGGGCTTCTGCCATAACCAAAAACTACACAGCCCATTACTGCTAGGTTTTATCACCGTGGAAGGCCGCCCTTTCTGGCAGAACCCCTTTAGAGAGGATACAGGGCTCCCAGCCTACCTCATCTGGTCCTGAAGCCCCACGTATGTTTGGCTGTCAGAGGGAGTGACCTGACTTGACTTCTCACGCGTGGCCCTCCACCCTGCAGCTTAAGGTTATGACAATATTCTCAGACATGGATCAGCACTCATTCTTCCCTCTCTGCCTCAACTGCAGGAACGCATGTCAAACCGCACTGTGCTGCCACAGTCTTCTTATCAGTCTCCCACCCCTCCACATTTGCATCAGCCCCACTGTCCTTTCCAAAAGTCCCCTTTGCAGACTCCTGGATCACTACTCTGTCTATCCTTCTATATCATCATTGTGTGCTGGCTACACAACCAGTCATTTTTCCATGCTGTTCTGTCCCTATTCGCTTTGGAATGTAGCATCTGTTGAATTCATGCCTCATGAAGCATGAAGAGTTCCATTTTAACATCCCGTTACACGTACATTGTCTCATTTAAACTCCATACGTGCCCTGTGAGCTGTATTAACTCTTACTTCATTGGTAAGAAACATAAATTTCAGAGAGGTTAACAGGGCCATATATGTAATAAGCCAGAACATAGGAGGAAAAGGGCTCCGTCTGTCTTACCACTTCTGCATCACTGAACATACAGCAGTAAATGGCACATAGGATATGCTTGAGTTTTTTCCTGTATAAATAAATAATATGAGAATTTACAAATCAGTTGCTCTTTACTCTATTCCAGGGTTTCTCAGTCTTGGCACTGTTGATATTTGGGACCAGACAACTCTTCACTGTGGGGGCCTGCCCTGTGCTTTAGAGAATGATTATCAACATCCCTGGCCTCAACCCATGAGACGTCAATCTCAGCCCTTGTAATCAGGCATATCTCCGAGACTAGTTAGAGTAAATGAAATTGTTTAGATATAATGGGAACTACTTCAAAGCCTGGCACATAAAAACTTTCTATGTATGATTCTTCCTTCTCTTTTACCCACAGATTGGATGATATGGAGATGAACACCAGGACTATTTTAGAAACTGCATGTTGCAGACCACTGAGATATAAAACTTAGAAACAAAAATTGGTCCTGAGTCAGTGCCTTGAAGACAGTTCCACAGGTTAGTTTGCTGGAGCATATTCATCTTTAGAATGTTTCATAAGAAGAAATAAACTTTTACTCTGCTAAGTCATTGAGATTTGTTTATTTATATCTTATAGCAGCTAGTGTTACCATAGCTAACTCACTCTTTGCATCGACTTAAATAAGTAAAAATGAGAGCTGATATAAAGAGAAAAAGTGTAGTTAATTATATGTCAAGTGATTCATCGATATGATAAGATTCTAAAAAGTACTGCACAACAGTAGATCAGTTCAACTCAAGAGGGACAAAGGTGTGAAGGAGAACATGCTGCACACCAGGGGTTCTTTTCAATTCAACTTTTTCTGGTTGATATCAGAAAATCAGGGAAAATAATGAAAAAATAAGGGAAAAACTCTTTGCTTTAAGAAGACCCTCATGAGATATTTTTTCAGGAAAATAATTAAGATTTATACTAGGTAAGGTAACTGCGTGAGTTTTCTATTGCTGCATAAAAAATGGCCACAAATTTAACAGCTTAAAACTGCATGCATTCATGCATTCATTATCTCGCAAAAAACTGCATGCATTCATGCATTCATTATCTCGCAATTTCTATAGCTCAGAAGTGTGGGTACAGTTTAACTGGGTCTTCTGCTCAGGGTCCCACCAGGCTGAAATCCAAGTGTTCAACAGGCTTTGTCCTCACCTGGAGGCTCAACTGGAGAAGAATCTGCTTCCAAGCTCCATCAGATTGTTAGAAAATTAACTTCCTGTGGCTACAGGATTCATGGCACCTTGCTTCTTCAAAGCCAGCAATGGAAAGAGCCGTCTGCTCCAAGACTGACATGTAGTCTCTCAGAAAGGGATCATGTGACTAGGTAATGGCCACCCAGAATAATATCCCTTTTGATTAAGTTAAAGTCAATCGATTAGAGGTTTGAATTGCATCTGAAAAATTTATTTTCTTTACCATACTACATAAATTACAGTTCAGTATGGATTAGCAAGAGGACTCTGCATTTTCAAAGATGTTTGGAAACCAGTGTTTCTCTATCTTTGTCTCCACCTACATTTAAGTTCTTTGAAGTCTGTCCACACAGCTACAAATAGAAAAAGAGAATTACAAATTATCTATGGGAGATTTGTTATTTAATGGGTCAGTTCTAAGGATGAAGCAAGTTACTCCTACTCATATTTCACCGGCTGGATGTCACCTCTGTGTAGTTGCAGGAAACTTGTAAAATGCCCAAAAAGAGAAAAAGGTGGACATTGTTCTCAGTTCTCAGTCCACCCTTCTGGTCACTGCCAAAGTATATGTTTCCCTTGTCTCTCCCATAGCAAAACCTCTTATACCTTTCCCAAGAGAATCAGGCTGGATATTTCACGTCCCAATGCATCCTGTTGAAAATCTAATATGGAGCATCTCCAAGACGTGCTCAGCTTCTCCATCAGGTCTGGATAGGTCTTCCTATCATTCAATAATTTATTTTAAAGAAAAAGAAATTGTCCATCCTCCCATCTTCCTCAATTTTGAAGACATTCTAAATCGGAAAGTGAACAAATGGGAAACCACAGAAGAAGCTGGTCTGAAGCAATTTGGATGTCCTGCTGAACTGGCTTTATGAAGGTCATCCACCTTGAGAAAGCAGGTGCATTTCCTACTTAAATCCTGCTTCTTTTCTTTGGAAGAAACAATCATTGTCCCTTGTTCTTTATGGATCTTCGCTCTATCTTCTGGGAGTTTTTTCTTGTCCATTTTCCAGGGTGCATATTTCAGATCTGACAGGTTTCTGTAAATCTGTAAAGTCCACTTCTGCTGGTATACACATGGAGTCTTGAAGGCTGTTCTGTTTTTATTTTTGAGACAGAGTCTTGTTCTGTCACTCAGTCTGGAGTGAAGTGGCACAATCTTGGCTCACTGCAACCTCTGCCTCTGAGGTTCAAATGATTCTCTTGCCTCAGCCTCCCAAGTAGCTGGGATTACAGGCACCCACCACCACGCCAAGCAAATTTTTGTATTTTTAGTAGAGACAAGGTATTTTCATGTTGGCCAGACTGGTCTCAAACTCCTAGCCTCAGGCGATCCAGCCACTGGGCCTCCCAAGGTACTGGAATGACAGGCAGGAGCCACCATGCCTGGCCTTGAAAGCTGTTTTAAATATCAAAAAAATGATGGTTTCCAGCTTAATCCACGCCCTCAAAGGACATAAACTCATCCTTTATTATGGCTGCATAGTATTCCATGGTGTATATGTGCCGCATTTTCTTTATCCAGTCTATCATTGATGGGCATTTGGGTTGGTTCCAAGTCTGGAAACCATCATTCTCAGCAAACTAACGCAGGAACTGAAAACCAAACACTGAATGTTCTCACTCATAAGTAGAAGTTGAATAATGAGAACACATGGACACAGGACAGGGAACATCACACACCAGGGCCTGTCAAGGGGTGGGGGACTAGGGGAGGGATAGCACTAGGAGAAATACCTAATGTAGATGATGGGTTGATGGGTGCAGCAAACCACCATGGCACACGTATACCTATGTAACTAACCTGCATGTTCTGCACATGTATCTCAGAATTTAAAGTATAATAAATAAATAAATAGATAAACAAACAAACAAACAAACATCAAAGAATCAAAGGCTGTTTGGCAGTATTTTTGCAATATGATTTATCCCCAAAGTAAGGGTTATAATCTACTTGTTTCTCCCTTCCCCATGCCTCTTTCCACTTAATGGGTTGACATTCTGAGGCACGTTGCATAAGCCTTCTCAGAAGGTCTTGTTATGATTGGCACCTGTCACACACAGCAGTGGCCACTGTCATTATATATCTTAGGTTGGAACTTTCTCCTTGCCTGCACTGTTGTCCTAGTCTTTCCTTCCTACTCAAATAAGACACCCAAACATAAAACTGTCTCAGGCTCTGCTTTCAAGACAACTAAGCTGAGACACTACTTTTTGCAGAAATGCTAAATCTTCAAGGGTCTTTGTCAATCCAAAGCTTTTTCAATCTTACTTCCTATTTTGAGGTCTCAGAAGTGGTGATTTTACCAACCCTTTAAGGTCCCAAATGTCTGAACTGCCGCTTGTTCTTTTTCTACTTATAAAGTAGCCAGTTATTGACTAATAACATCATTTTCTTTTAATACTTTCCTAAGATCAGCCATTATAAAGCAACACACGTTGTCACCCCGACTCCTCCTGGTCACTCCTTTAGAGCTATATGCTCAGTCAACACATGTACTGCTCCAAATAAAGTCAAGCAACAGTTTTAATTGAAACTTTTATTAAGATAATTATAAATTAACATACAATTACATTAAATACTACATAGATATCGTTACTATGCTCCTCTCAGTTTCCTCCAATAGCAATATCTTGCAAAACTATGTTAAATATCGCAACAAGGACTTTGAGATTTATACAGTCCACTGAACATAGTTCAAATTGCCCGTTTTACTTTATGCGTATATGTGTATATCAAGTTCTCTATAATTTTATCACTCTTGCAGGCGCATATATTTACCACCACAGTCAAGATACTAAGAAATTCCAACACCACAAAGATCCCTATTTTGCCTTTTTACAACCATCCCTATGACTATACTTTTTCCACCGTGCCCAGCTCTGTCACTAATTCCTAACCACTAATCTATTCTCCATTTTTAACATTTTATCATTTCAAAATGCTGTATAAATTTAAGAATACAGAATTTAACCTTTAGGAGTTTATTCTTTTCATGCAGCATAATTCTCTGCAGATTCACTTAAGTTGTTTTTCATTCATCCTTATTGCTGCATGCTACCTACGTACCACAGATGGTTAACCATTCCACTGCTGAAGGACATTCAGACTCATTCATATTTCTGGTTATTACAAATAAGGTTATTATGAATACTCATGTACACGTTTTTGAATGAAAATAAGTTTTCATTCCTTTGGGAGAAATGCCCAAGTATGTAATTGCCTGGTCATATGGCAAATTTATGTGTAGTTTTATATGGAACTGTCAAACTGTTTTTCAGTGGGTACAGTAATATACATTCCCAACAGCAATATATGACTGATTCATTTTCTCTGCATTGTCACTAGCATTTGGTGATGATGTTGTTTATTATTAATTTCACCCCTTCTGATAGGGGTAGAGTGATATATCATTGTTGTTTTAATTTGCATTTCTCTGATGGCTAATGATGTTGGACATTGTTTTTATGTGCTATTTGTTTTATTCATATCCTCTTCAGTGAAATGTCTCTTCATCTTTTTCAACTGTTGAGTCTAGAGAGTTCTTTATATGTACTAAACACCAGTCCTTTGCCAGACATAAAGTTTGCCATATTTTCTCCTAGATTGTGGGTTGTATTTTCTTCTTCACATAGACTCTCAAAGAAAGAACATTTTTTAACCACTGATGAGATGCAATTTATCAATTTTTTCTTTTTTGGATTATGCTTTTGGTGTCTAGCCTGAGAACTCTTAGACTATTCTTAGATCCTAAAGATGTTCCTCTTTTGTCTTAAAGTTTTACAGATTTGTGTTTTATATTTAAGTCTATGATCAATTTTGAGTTGATTACTTTATGATGTGTGAGGTTTACATTAAAGTATATATTTTTGGTCTATGAATGCCTAAATGCCACTGCCTTATGTGTTTAAAAGATCATATTTCCTCCATTAAATCACCTGCTTACCCTTGCCAAAACCAGTTGAACATATTTGTGTGCATCTGGTTCTAGGATCTTGATTTTATTCTGTTGATTTATGTGTCTAACCATTTAGTAACACCACACGATCTTAATTACTGCAGCTATATGGTAAATCATTTTCAGTTGTATAAAGTCCACAAAATGAGATATTTTCTATATTGTAGTTTTTAGTTTCTTAATTTCCATTTGGCTATTTTTTAGTAACCTCTTTTGCTGAGATTTTTCAGTTTTTCATTTTTCTCAACATAATCTGTGATTGAATTTTGGAGCATTTTTATAACTACTTTCAAAAAATTTGTGTCATGTAATTCCAACATCTGATTC